TGGCCAAGTTTATTTCTTGATGTATTTGTTCAACCAGCCACCTGCATGGCCTACATTGCTTCTGACTCACCCATCTGAGAGCACGACAGCGGGTGGTCAAACGCTTGCATTTGCTGGTCCAACCACCACCTGGCGAAGCGAACAGGGTGTCTCCTGGTCCCTTACTGAAAATCAATAACACCCGAAGACACACAAGAATTATAAGTCCTACTAGAAAAAAGACGTGGTTCTTTTTCCGCTTCTTTCATGGTTTGATACCCGTAATACTAAGTGTGTTTTACTTCTCTTATTGGCAGGGTGGAGAACAAAAACAGTTTAAAAACGGTAAAGATACTTGCATACATGTATGATTTGCAGTATGTCTTCTGTTGTACAAAATTGATTGGTTGTTTCAGTAGGTCCAAAATACGTAAGGAATAAATCTTGAAGTTCTGCTTCAACTTTGAAAAGCAAATCCAAATCTGAGCTACACTTACTCAATACCAGTGGTGAGTACTGCGGTGTTTCCAATAGCCGCGGTTCGCCCCGTAAGGCAAAGGGTAGAGAGCCAAACTCAACCCTGAAAACTCTCTTCCCGATCTACACTCAAGAACACACCAAAGAGCTGCTGGCCTAGTGGCGGATTGTTTCATTTGGTAGCAGTTCAATCCACCCATCTTCTCAATCACCAAATAGGAGGCCACTATTCAGGATATCCACGTGTCTTTTCTGATGGAGCATCCAATTCAGACTTGCTCTTGGCAGAAGCATGCATGTTCAACTCCGGTAGGTTGATCTCCCCAATAGTCTAGTCAAGTCTAGTCTAGTCTGTTCATGTTCTGTGGTGAACCAAAAAAACAAAAATCCGGTTTTGACCCGCGCTATATCGGAAACTGTTTCTCTCCATGAATTTGCGTGAACCTCCTGGACGGAGGTTACCCCACTGGCCTTGCCCGGTCCAGCCATGGAAGTAGAGCATCGTCGGCCGGCTGGGATCGTAGAACCTTGCTGCACACGAAGAACCGGGCGTTGTCCACCCGTAGGAATCATCTCAAACACCCCGAAGAAAAGCATCGCTTCCGGAAGGTGGGACCCAAAGCGCTGGTACCTTTTCTGAAAGTGCTAGTGCCGGAAGAAAGGAGTTGACATGGTAAAGAATTTGGGAGAGATGGGTTCAAACCATGTGCCTTGTATTCTCGTGGTGAGGAGGCCATCCCATCCCACCTGGGCCTTCCTTCACTCACCACTGCCTCCGACACTCTCCGGGCGACCCCACTTGGACGCCGATCCAGTGGCCTGCAGCTGTCCGATCGGCGGAAATCTCACCTGAACCCAACGCATTGACATAGATCACCTGGTGTGGGATGCTCTTTCGAGAAAAACTCTGAAGAGTTTCTCTCTCACCAAAAAAATTTGGAATGCACCCTCGGATCCAGTGTCACCAACTCAGACGCCTTGTTCGTCCATCTGGGAGAAGCTCCTGCAACACCCACTGAGAGCGCTCCCCAACGGCGGCCGGGACCCCGCCTTCTCCGTTTGATCCTCTGGGCCAAACCTGGGGACCCGCTGGTGCACACTGAAGACCGGGCTGCCAAGCACGACCACACAAAAGCTTCGTTTTGACAGAGAACGGTCCAGCTCGAAACCCGGCGACCTATGTAGAAAGTAGCTCAAGAATCTTTCCTCCTTTTCCTCCCGGCCTGCTCCGCCATGCTCCCAGCTAGGCTCCCGTGCCAGTAGATCGCCGCATCGAGTTGCTTTGGGAAACCATCAAAGCGACCTCAGAGATATTCCACTGGCTGATCTGTTGTCTTGCCATTAAGTGTGCATTAAACACCGCCCGCACTGAAGGTGCCGAGGTGTTGTGGAGGCTTGCACAAGCCGCAAGAATTCTGCTAGATAAATCTTAAGCTTTAGCTTTAGGGGGTGGGGGGGGGGGCGCATCTCATGCTTGGGAAGTGCTGTGCCTTACGGGGTTTTTTGAAGATTGATAAGATGATACGTAAGTATGGATATGGTCTTGGACCAAACGTTCGCGATGCCGGCAATGCCGGCCGGGGGAGATTGCATCGACATCGCGGATGCATGTGCAATGCGGGGGACACTGCACTATTGACATCGTGGGTGTGTTCGTCCGTGTGCCCTGCCCGACCGAGACACAGACTGACAGACCGAGATAGACAGACTGAGACAGACAGACCGAAACCGACAGACGCACACACTCCGTGCGGGCGGCTTCGAGCGCCAAGCGCTGTGAATAGGAAGACCTCCCAGTTCGACCCCAACCAGCCTCAGCCTAGACCATTCGGGATGATTTTCGTTCGCTTGGCATATGATCCTTCAAACGGCCCCGTGGTCTCCAGCAGTGCACAGTACACATCAAGGCGGATGGGAAAGGAGAGTCCCCATCTTTGAACATGTTGCATTGAAATTCTTTAAGCTCCCACACTCAAACTCGGCTGTGAGCAAAAGTTCTCCTGGCAGCCACAAAAAAGAAACAGTCATCAGCCCAGCCCGTGCTGGGCCAAACAACTCCGACCCGCAGATCATCCACACAAACTCATCGACGACCGATTAGCCTGGCTAGCTGCGAACGCGAGCTGCAAGTGTTGTCTTTGAGCTCTGAGACAGACCCAGTCCCAACATCACTATCAAGAGAGTCAACTTCAGTCTCCTGAGCCGCTCCAAGCGTCAGGACAATGACCTTACACGGCCGGAAAAAACATGAAAAACGATTCACACGGAGGATACTTTGGAGCTGTCTATATATAGGTGTCTACTTGGGTGTGGATTGGAATAGGGAGACCCCCATTTGACCCCCTGGAAGAAACCCCCTGGAAGAAGGAAAATCAATTAAAATAGCTCAGACAAACCCATCAAGTCTTTTCTCGAAGTTCTGGGACTCACCCCAAACCCATGAGACTCCTGGGTCGAACACGTTTGGGAGGTGAAGAAAACAGAAAAAACACACTCGCCCCAGCTTCTGCACACAAATCGGTCTGCTTGGATCCTTGGTCTACCATCGGTGCCCAGGGTCTGCAACCGACCACCGAGGTTCTCCACGGCCAGTGAAAAAAAACCGAAACTGCGAAGAATAGGACCAGAACGGCTTGAAGAATCCCTTCCAGGAAAAGAAGGATTGCCACAATCCGGCAACCAAAAAAACTTATGCAAAGACGCATGCACTGATGACGCATCCGTTCAGGCACTGTTTTGGGGGAACGGCAGAGGCTTGGGGCCAACGGTTAGACGGTCACTGCCTCCACCTGAGGGCCCCACGCAGAGCTGCCTAGGGATGCGCGCTGAAAGGGGAGACCCCGCGGACGGCACAGGTTCTAAACCTTTACAGTGGTTTCAGAGTAGATGGCACAATCACCAAGAGGTGGTTTATATGGACCCCCATCTAAAAGACATGTAGGGGTGCCAGTGCCATCTACTCTGAAACCACTGTATAAAGCCTTGTAGAGCTATAGGACGTCTGTCTTGCCATAGGTGTTTTTCTCTTTGCCAGACCTGAAAGCAAACATTGAATCTTCAAGACTTCAGACAGAACCTGTAGACAAACAACTTGCTGTTGCCAGATTGTTTGGGTGTCCATGCCAATTTGAGGGATGCACTTCTGGCTATCCAACAGATTTGAAGTCTCTCGAGACTCTCGACCCAAATATATAGAGAGGTGCCCTCAAGCGTATGCGTAACTGCACCTTACCGCGTTCCATGACGATGGAGCCAAAACACTGGTGGTGTGTCTGGCTGTAAACAGTCCTCCCTGCAAAAAGAAGGCATCTCCGAGACGTGTCCTATGCCATCCCACCATCCAGAACCACTCAAGATCGTCCCTCCTGTTCAGCCAAGGGGCGCAAATCTGCCGCTTCCCCACATCGCGGTTTTTCACTGCTAAAGGTCGGCACACATCAGGCGTGTCGAAAACTCTAGAAAAATGACAGTATATAATCCAAAAACGATACCTAGCCTTGTGACGGTACACATCTTGGAATCTATCTTTGCCTATTGACACTCGACGCAGTGTATGTCCAAGGTCTTTTGCATTTGGTTTGCGACGCTAGTTAGGACATTCCATGTTGTTCTTGCTCATGTTCCCTTCTCTTTCTTCGATGGGAAACAAGTGTGGGCTTGGACCGATACCAAAACGATACCAAACGATACCCACTTCTTAGGTCTGTATGCCCTCGGTGCTTCTACTACTACTACTACTACTACTACCACTACTACCACTACCACTACCACTACCACTACCACTACCACTACCACTACCACTACTGCTACTACTGCTACTACTGCTACTGCTGCTGCTACTACTACTACTACCACCATTACCACCACCATTACCACCACCATCACCACCACCACCACCACTACTACTACCACTATACCACTATACCACTATACCACTATACCACTACTACTACTACCACTACTACTACTACTACTACTACTACTACTACTACTACTCCTGCTACTACTACTACTACTACTACCACTACCACTACCACTACCACCACCACCACCACCACCACGACTGCTACTGCTACTTCACTACCACTACTACTACGACGACGACGACTACTACTACCACCTAGCACGGCGACTCGACTGCGACTACGACGACGACGACCACAACAACAACAACAACAACTACTACTACTACTCCTGCTACTACTACTACTACTACTACTACTACTACTACTACTACTACTACTACTACTACTACT